AGAATCCTGTGTGTGTCCATAAGTGACCTGAAACTGCCTTCATTCAACAATATAGGATCCTGTCGGTGACCTAAAGTGATCTCAAACTGCATTAAGTGTAGAATCCTGTGCGTGTCTATAAGTGTCCTCAAACTGCATTAAACTGTGTAGAATCCTGTCGGTGACATAAAGTGACCGCAAACTGCATTAAGTGTAGAATCCTGTGTGTGTCCATAAGTGACCTGAAACTGCCTTCATTCAACAATATAGGATCCTGTCGGTGACATAAAGTGACCGCAAACTGCATTAATTGTAGAATCCTGTGCGTGTCCATAAGTGATCTGAAACTGCCTTCATTCAACAATATAGGATCCTATCAGTGACCTAAAGTGACCGCAAACTGCATTAAGTGTAGAATCCTGTGCGTGTCCATAAGTAATCTGAAACTGCCTTCATTCAACAATATAGGATCCTGTCGGTGACATAAAGTGACCGCAAACTGCATTAATTGTAGAATCCTGTGCGTGTCCATAAGTGATCTGAAACTGCCTTCATTCAACAATATAGGATCCTGTCGGTGACCTAAAGTGATCTCAAACTGCATTAAGTGTAGAATCCTGTGCGTGTCCATAAGTGACCTGAAACTGCCTTATTAAACAATATAGGATCCTGTTGGGGACCTAAAGTGACCTCAAACTGCATTAAGTTTAGGATCCTGTTGGTGACCTAAAGTGACCGCAAACTACATTAAGTGTACAATCCTGTGCGTGTCCATAAGTGACCTCGAACTGCCTTCATTCAGCAATATAGGATCCTTCTGGTGACCTAAAATGTCTTCAAACTGCATTAAACTGTTGGTGACCCAAAGTGAGCGCAAACCGCATTAAGTGTACAATCTTGTGCATGTCCATTCATTCAATAATATAGGATCCTGTTGGGGACCTAAAGTGACCTCAAACTGCATTAAAGTGACCTCAAACACCATTAAGTGTAGAATCCTGTTGGTGACTCAAAAGTGACCTCAAATTGTATATATTCCACAATATTCATGAGCTGAAGTGACCTCAAACTACATTTATTCATTCATTCAACAATATAGAATCCTGTTGGTGACCTAAAGTGACCTCAAACTGCATTAAAGTGACCTCAAACATCATTACGTGTAGAATCCTGTTGGTGACTCAAAATGACCTCAAACTGTATTCATTCCATAATATTCATGAGCTGAAGTGACCTCAAAATTCATTTATTCATTCATTCAACAATATAGGATCCTGTTGGTGACCTAAAGTGAAATCAAACTGCATTGAAGTGACCTCAAACATCATTACATGTAGAATCCTGTTGGTGACCCAAAGTGACCTCAAATTACCTTCGTTGAACAATATAGGATCCTGTTGGTGATCTAAAGTGACCTCAAACTGCATTAAACAGTGTAGAATCCCGTTGGTGACCCAAAGTGACCTCAAATTACATTCCTTCAATATAGGATCCTGTTGGTGATCTAAAGTGACCTCAAACTGCATTAAACAGTGTAGAATCCCGTTGGTGACCTAATGTGACCTCAAATTACATTCCTTCAACCATATAGGATCCTGTTGGTGATCTAAAGTGAAATCAAACTGCATTGAAGTGACCTCCAACACTATTAAGTGTAGAATCCTGTTGGTGACTCAAAGTGACCTCAAACTACATTCATTCATCCATTCATTCAACAATATAGGATCCTGTTGAGGACCTAAAGTGACCTCAAACTGCGTTAAGTCTAGAATCCTGTTGGTGACCTATAGTGGGGTCGAACAGCATTCATTGAACAGCATAGAATCCTGTTGGTGACCCAAAGTGACCTCAAATTACATTCCTTCAACAATATAGGATCCTGTTGGTGATCTAAAGTGAAATCAAACTGCATTGAAGTGGCCTCCAACACTGTGAAGTGTAGAATCCTGTTGGTGACTCAAAGTGACCTCAAACTACATTCATTCATCCATTCATTCAACAATATAGGATCCTTTTGGGGACCTAAAGTGACCTCAAACTGCGTTAAGTCTAGAATCCTGTTGGTGACCTATAGTGGGGTCGAACAGCTTTCATTGAACAGCATAGAATCCTGTTGGTGACCCAAAGTGACCTCAAATTACATTCGTTCAACAATATAGGATCCTGTTGCTGATCTAAAGTGACCTCAAACTGCATTAAACAGTGTAGAATCCCGTTGGTGACCCAAAGTGACCTCAAATTACATTCCTTCAATATAGGATCCTGTTGGTGATCTAAAGTGACCTCAAACTGCATTAAACAGTGTAGAATCCCGTTGGTGACCCAAAGTGACATCAAATTACATTCCTTCAACCATATAGGATTGTGTTGGTGATCTAAAGTGAAATCAAACTGCATTGAAGTGACCTCCAACACTATTAAATGTAGAATCCTGTTGGTGACTCAAAGTGACCTCAAACTACATTAATTCATCCATTCATTCAACAATATAGGATCCTGTTGGTGACCCAAAGTGACCTCAAATTACATTCGTTCAACAATATAGGATCCTGTTGCTGATCTAAAGTGACCTCAAACTGCATTAAACAGTGTAGAATCCCGTTGGTGACCCAAAGTGACCTCAAATTACATTCCTTCAATATAGGATCCTGTTGGTGATCTAAAGTGACCTCAAACTGCATTAAACAGTGTAGAATCCCATTGGTGACCTAATGTGACCTCAAATTACATTACTTCAACCATATAGGATCCTGTTGGTGATCTAAAGTGAAATCAAACTGCATTGAAGTGACCTCCAACACTATTAAGTGTAGAATCCTGTTGGTGACTCAAAGTGACCTCAAACTACATTCATTCATCCATTCATTCAACAATATAGGATCCTGTTGAGGACCTAAAGTGACCTCAAACTGCGTTAAGTCTAGAATCCTGTTGGTGACCTATAGTGGGGTCGAACAGCATTCATTGAACAGCATAGAATCCTGTTGGTGACCCAAAGTGACCTCAAATTACATTCCTTCAACAATATAGGATCCTGTTGGCGATCTAAAGTGAAATCAAACTGCATTGAAGTGACCTCCAACACTATTAAGTGTCCCCTCTGTGGTGCCTCGCCGTGCCTCACTCCTTCCTTATCCCTCTTCAACAATATAGGATTGTTGAGGACTAACGCTGGCCTCACCCTCCGTAGTCGCTTGTGGGCCTTATCGTGGGAGTTCGCAGCATTGATGCCCGCCTCGCTGTGGTGCCCTGCCTCCTTCCCTTCCTTCCCCCCTCTCGCCTCGTTGTCGGCTTCCCGTGCCCTCCATGCCTGCAGTGCCCCTCACATATTAAGTGTAGACTGTTGGTGCCTCGAAGTGCCTCAACCTACGTTCAGTTGCCTCTGTTGGTGCCTATCGGGTTGCCCGCTTGGCTTGAACGCTAGAATCTATTACATTCCTTCAACAATATAGGATCCTGTTGGCGATCTAAAGTGAAATCAAACTGCATTGAAGTGACCTCCAACACTATTAAGTGTAGAATCCTGTTGGTGACTCGAAGTGACCTCAAACTACATTCATTCATCCATTCATTCAACAATATAGGATCCTGTTGAGGACCTAAAGTGGCCTCAAACTGCGTTAAGTCTAGAATCCTGTTGTTGACCTATAGTGGGGTCGAACTGTATTCATTCAACAGCATAGAATCCTGTTGGTGACCCAAAGTGACCTCAAATTACATTCCTTCAACAATATAGGATCCTGTTGGCGATCTAAAGTGAAATCAAACTGCATTGAAGTGACCTCCAACACTATTAAGTGTAGAATCCTGTTGGTGACTCAAAGTGACCTCAAACTACATTCATTCATCCATTCATTCAACAATATAGGATCCTGTTGGGGCCCTAATGTGACCTCAAACTGCGTAAAGTCTAGAATCCTGTTGGTGACCTATAGTGGGGTCGAACCGCATTCATTGAACAGCATAGAATCCTGTTGGTGACCAAATGTGACCTCAGCCTGCCTTAGGTCATCAACAGGATGCCCACTTTTGTTTTCGATCTCCCTGCATTCCCAATGGACATTCCTTTGTACCCAACCCAGGAAAGGAAAGTGGAGGAGACACCTCATACCCAAACAGGACCCCAATCTTTTATTTGTTTGCCAACGCACCTCCTTTTCCTCCGGATGAGCCAAACGGCGGTGGCGGTGAAGGCGATGGTGCCGAGGAGGCTTCCCGTGGCCACCGACGCGACGAACCCTGCAGGAAAACAAGACCATTTAAAGTCCCATAATTGCTCTTAATGCTCTAATTGCAGAGGCGAGGGAGCCCATAATCCCCAGACGAGAGGGATTAGCATTAATTGGGCTGCGTTGGGAGCAGAAAACAAGGCACTCCGATGGCGTTGTGTGGTTTGCTTTCTGTTATGTGCAGAAATGTTCTCTGTTTCAATGTGGTGTTTTGTCTGCAAAAAGCAGACTGGATAAGAGGTGAAACCCAACCATGCCACCAAAGTAGGAAAGAAACCAATAGCCAGACAACCAGAGATTGAGAACAACAACCTTCATGAACCCTTTACATCTACTGAATTGGACATGGCTCTCAATAAATGTAAAAATGGCAAAGCAGCTGGCCTGGATGATCTACGGATGGAACAAATCAAGAACTTTGGTCCAAAAGCAAGGCGCTGGCTGCTGGAGCTGATGAACAACTGCACTGCATCCTGTCAGATCCCCAAAATCTGGAGGAAAGCAAGAGTCATCGCCATCTTGAAGCCAGGCAAAGACCGTCATGACCCAAAAAGCTACAGACCAATCTCCCTGTTGTGCCACCTCTACAAAGTTCTGGAGAGACTTATTTTGCATAAAATTATGGAAAATATAGACCCCTGTCTGATCCCACAACAAGCTGGCTTCAGGAAAGGCAAAAGCTGCACATCGCAAGTGCTGAACCTGACTCAGCACATAGAAGATGGCTTTGAAAGGCAGCAGATCACAGGAGCTGTCTTCATAGACCTGTCAGCAGCCTATGAGACTGTGAACCACCGCCTCCTCCTGAGAAAAATGTATAATATCACAAAGGACGACCACCTCACCCGCCTCATAGGAAACCTGCTACAAAACAGGAGCTTTTTTGTTGAGTTCCAGGGCCAGAGAAGCAGATGGCGGAAACAGAAGAACGGCCTGCCTCAGGGGAGCGTGCTTGCTCCATCCATGTTCAACATCTACACAAATGACCAGCCATTGCCAGAAGGGACAGAGAGTTTCATCTATGCTGATGATCGTGCCATCACCGCTCAAGCAGGGAGCTTTGAGATGGTTGAACAGAAGCTCTCCGAAGCTCTAGGTGCTCTTACTGCCTATTACAGGGAAAACCAGCTGATCCCTAATCCATCTAAAACACAGACATGTGCCTTTCATCTCAAGAACAGAGAAGCATCCTGAGCTCTGAGGATGATTACCTGGGAAGGAATCCCACTGGAGCATTGCAGCGCACCCAAATACCTGGGAGTCACTCTGGACCATGCTCTGACCTACAAGAAGCACTGCCTGAACATCAAGCAAAAAGTGGGTGCTAGAAACAATATCATACGAAAGCTGACTGGCACAACCTGGGGATCACAACCAGATACAGTGAAGACATCTGCCCTTGCGCTATGCTACTCTGCTGCTGAGTACGCATGCCCAGTGTGGAACACATCTCACCACACTAAAACAGTGGATGTGGCTCTTAATGAGACATGCCGCATTATCACGGGGTGTCTGCGCCCTACACACTGGAGAAATTACACTGCTTAGCCGGTATTGCACCACCTGACATCCGCCGGGAAGTAGCAGCCAATAGTGAAAGGACCAAGGCAGAGACATCTCCAGCTCATCCCCTGTTTGGGTATCAGCCAGCACGTCAACGACTTAAATCAAGACATAGTTTTCTTAGATCTACAGAGACACTTGCTGGAACACCTCAGCAAGCGAGAGTCCAAAAGTGGCAGGCTCAAACCCAGAACCTCAACCAATGGCTGATACCAAATGAGAGACTCCCCCCTGGGCACACAGACCTGGAAGGTGCTGAACAGACACCACGAGATGCAGAGCCAACCTTGGGAAATGGGGCCACAAAGTGGAGTCCATGACATGCGAGTGCGGAGAAGAGCAAACCACTGACCACCTGCTGCAATGCAACCATACACAATGGAGGACCTCCTTGCGGCAACACCAGAGGCACTCCAAGGGGCCAGATACCTGTCAAAGGACATTTAATCAACTACCTAACTCACAAATTTTGTATTTTGTCTGTTTGTTTGTTTGCTTTGTTCTGTTAGAAATGTAATATAATCGACTGGCTGCCCTGACACGACAAATAAATAAAATAAAATCCATTAAATGCAGGGAAAGAGCACATTAAACCAAATCGGGACAACTGGAAAGCATGCAATGCTCATGCAATAGAGAAATGGAAGCCTGCAGAATGCTATCCGTAAGAAACGCACTGCAAGCGTCGATGGGAATCTTGCACCCGGTTGTCGTTTCTGGGCATTTGCACGGCTTCCATTTCTACCTGACTTGGGTCTTGCTTTGGGTGTCTTCGGTGGAAATTGCAGCAAAGGGAAGGGAACGTGAGTAGTTTTGCAATTTCCAAAGGTCTGGACAATGTCTGGAAACAAACACAGTTATCTGGAGAGAAACCCGAAGCCCTTATAAAGCCGGACACCTGCAAGACGGCATTCCTTGCAAAAAATGGCATTCCTTGCAAAAAGTCATTCTTTGCAGAAAGGCATTCTTTGCACGCAAAACAAGTCATTCCTTTCGTTCCAAAAGGAAACGACTCCCAATCCATTGCAAAGAAAAGACAAAATATAGTTGTCCAATGGATCCAATTGCTCAGGTTCCTTCAAATTTGTTGTTGTATTTCTTTCAATAATTCACTGATACACAAGAGGGATTAATTGGGATTTTGGCTGCCAAATTGGGATGACGACGAAACCACGCTGGCGTTGTTTTCCTCCTCGGTCTTATTTTATTGCAAAATTCACTTTGGAATTTTGCATGATGCAAACCCAAGAATCTTTACAAACTACCTTCCTGTACTAAATTATTATTATTTATGATATAATAATAATAATAATAATAATAATAATAATAATAATAATAATAATAATAATATCTGCGCATCATTTAACCAAAATCTGACTTGGTTTGCAGGTCTAATATTATTATTAGTATTCTATTATTAATTAATTAATAATAATAATGGGTTGTTGTAGGTTTTTCCGGGCTATATGGCCATGTTCTAGAGGCATTCTCTCCTGACGTTTCTCCTGCATCTATGGCAAGCATCCTCAGAGGTAGTGAGGTCTATTGGAGCTAGGAAAATGGGTTTATAGATCTGTGGAATGACCAGGGTGGGACAAAGGACTCTTGTCTGCTGGAGCTAGGTGTGAATGTTTCAACTGACCACCTTGATTAGTGGGTTGTTGTAGGTTTTTTCGGGCTATATAGCCATGTTCTAGAGGCATTCTCTCCTGACGTTTCGCCTGCATCTATGGCAAGCATCCTCAAGGGTAGTGAGGTCTGTTGGAAGTAGGAAAATGGGTTTATATATCTGTGGAATGACCAGGGTGGGACAAGAGACTCTTGTTTGTTGAAGACTTTCATGGCCGGAATCACTGGGTTGTTGTAGGTTTTTTCGGGCTATATGGCCATGGTCTAGAGGCATTCTCTCCTGACGTTTTGCCTGCATCTATGGCAAGCATCCTCAGAGGTAGTGAGATCTGTTGGAACTAGGAAAAGGGTTTATATATCTGTGGAATGACCAGGGTGAGACAAAGGACTCTTGTCTGCTGGAGCTAGGTGTGAATGTTTCAACTGACCACCTTGATTAGCATATAATGGCCTGACAGTGCCTAGAGCAAACTTTTGTAATAACATAATATAGTATATTGTATATACATATAATATTTATAATGTTATAATTAATACAATATAATACTAGTAATAATAATACAATATTATAATTATATATTTACATTACATGTAACATTACTAATAATACTACAATATAATGGTATATATTTAGGCTTGGTTGATCAAGAAAAAATTTGGTTCGAAACTCGTTTTGTATCTCGGGGGCGCCCGCGTTTCTAATCTGAGAGGATTTCCGAAATTTCAAAGTTCAAAATTTTGATATTTACGAAATTTCGTAAATATACGAATCGATTCGTTAACGGCGGACGCGATTGCGCAATACGCGAAAAAACCCTCCAAACGGGACGGGGGAACTTCTGAATCTTCCCTCTCCCTCTGTGGTTGACTGTTGGTGTGATCAAACTAACAACAACTATATTATATTATGTTATATTATCAAAAAACTGTCCCAAGCCCAGAGCACGTCCAAAAGCAGAAGATTAAGTCAGAATGAGATGTCCACCCAAAAACAATCCGAAGTCAGAACGGAGTCCGCACTTACAGGAATCCAGTCTTTAAAACGCTTTAAAACGGCTTGTCTTAACCCAGCTAAACGTCTTCCTATTATTATTATTCTATATTATTATATATTATTATTAAGAATGGATGGCCATCTGTCAGGGGTGCTTTAATATACAATTATATTAATATAATATACAATTATAACATATAATATAATATAATACAATATAATATAATATAATAATATAATATATAATAAGAATAGTTTTAATATTATATTATATTATTATTATTATTATTATTATTATTATTAAGAATAGATGGCCATCTGTCAGGGGTGCTTTAATATACAATTATATTAATATAATATAATAACATACAATTATAACATATAATACAATATAATAATATACAATTATAATAATATAATATACAATAATAATATAATATATAATAAGAATAGTTTTAATATTATATTATATTATTATTATTAAGAATAGATGGCCATCTGTCAGGGGTGCTTTAATATACAATTATATTAATATAATATAATAACATAGAATTATAACATATAATATAATAATATAATATACAATTATAATAATATAATATACAATAATAATATAATATAATAATACATACGAAAATAATTACGAAAATTGGAAAAATGGTTTCGATTCTTAATTACTCCTCACACTATTCCTGCATGGCTCGATATTGGATCAAAAGCTAATTTAAATACGAATTCATAAAGAAATCATAACGAATCCATTAGAAACTAATGAACACGATCAACCAAGCCTAGTATATATATAATATATAATGGTATATAAT